TCGGGATCCTACCCTGGCCATTTTGGGACAGTTTTTCACTCCCCGAAGACCTATACCACAACGCCTCCCACCCAACCCCCACATACTTGGACCCTAAAGGCCCCAAAGCCCAGTCACCCGTATTGCCAGGTGAAGAAAAGATCTCCTTAAGCCGCTCCTTGAGGGGCCTCTGGTGTTTAAGCCTTCGGGGAAGCATATTTTGAGAGTCAGAGAGACATGGTCAATAGGTAAGCATGCGGATAGCAGGAGTTTATGGCCTGCAGAGTTTATAACCATATATATATATATGTATGTATGTACCAAGCTCAAGTTCATGGACCGCTGTTGAAGGGTGTCTCTACAAAGGAGTTGAGGCACAAAAGTGGCTGAGAATAGTAGATTCGTCGCGGGAGTCCTTATCATGCATAATAAGAGGCTTTTAGATACCCCAACCCCAATATGATAGAAAAGCGCTGTAAATATCATATAACTGTAATAGCTTCCTAAGGTCTCCTCATGAGTAACACGCGCCGCACACCCCAAAACTTTATGCCCTAAATCCTATAAACCCTATTTAAACCCTAAAACCTAAACACTTCACCGCCAAAACTGAGCTTGTCCCCACACCTTCAGCTTCCAATCGCTAAAGCCTGAAGTTCCCCTAAAGACACCAAAATCCAAACTTTCATGCCGAAACCGGGAACACCAAAACGTAGAACTTTCACAGCAGAAACCCCGAGATAGGGAGTATGGCTTGGAAAACGCCCAAGAAGGACCCTGATCTAGGAAAGATGGTGCCCTAAATCCTAAAGCTTGAACCCTAGGGCCTAGGGCAGTGCAGGATTTTTCGAAGCAAGAATAGCTTGCTGACACAAGGTGATCTTGGCTCCGGAGTTTCATACTTTGGGCGCACCTCTCCCGGAGGCTCGATGTAGGGGCAAGGAACAGAGACCCTAAACCGTAGACTCCAAACTGCATAGCCCGCCGAAACGTTGGTTAGCGCACCGGCATTCCTCCAGATCTTGTCGGTATCTTGACCCGGATTGAGACTCAGAGCTTCGGGCTCAGGGGATTTAGCCGGCGTTGTGAGTCCATAGGACAGCTTTCGGGCAACTCAAGGGTTTAGGGCTCAGGGTTTGGGACTGCTCTAGAGGCCTAAAGAATTTCCAACATCCTGGGTCGATGGTGCTTGTATAAGTATGGCATAGCGTGCCTCAAATAGATTTCAAGATGATATCAACAGCGCATCCTGCATTGGGGCATTTCCCAGGAGCACGGTCATCGTGATTTGAACATCATTTTTTCAAAAAGATATGTTCATTCTTTAGAGGGTGAGGGCTTAGGGTTAGAGATCTCCTGGACGTTTCAGGGGTAGTTTGCAGTTGGGATTTCCTTGGGGATACCTATATAGTTGCCATCTGATGTCGGGTACTTATAGACCTGCTTTCAATCTGAAACCCTGCCTAAACCCTTAACTCCTACACCCTAAACCTTATCCCAAAATCCGTAAACCCTATATACCTGAAAGCGATTCAGCTATTCTGGCAGGGGCCCCGCGTGGACGACTCGAACTCCAACGGCGACGCGGCAGAGCCCCGCTCTTACAAGGCCGAACCACTTAGGGTTGTAGCCTAAACTCTTTAAAGGGGTTATATATGTATATTCTCATTTACTTATTTATTGTTGCTTTTTTGCTTATTAATTTGTAGCGTTTGGGGTTCGGGGTTTATGCTCGAAATTAGATAAGGGGGGCTATTCAAAGGATTATACAGGCGAATATTATGGGCGTTATTTGGGTGAATATCAGGAGTTTAGACCATGGCTCGTTTAAAATTTCTAGGGTTTTCAGAAAATTGGGAACCCTTCTCTGGGAGTCCTTGTAATAGAGACCCCACCCTTTTTTCTGCAAAACCCCACTGTGGGATCTTAGCTGTCAAGGTTGAGGGCTTAGTGGGTTGTGCTTTAATGAAAGAACTGTCAAGGACACCCCCAGGTGGTTAGTTACCAGGTGGGTACCCCCATACAAGGCTCAGATAAGGGTAATGGGGCTATATGAGGTCTGTATAGGCCTCGTATAAGGGTACCCACCTGATAACAACCCACCTTGAACTACCCTTTGAAACTGTAGGGTTGCCAAAGGGTTTAGGAACCGCTGACACACAGGGCTATCGCGGGTTTGCTTTAGGGTTATCGTGTGGATTTGGTACATTACCAAATTCCACTTAACCCTGAGCCCTGATCCTAAACCCTACATTCTAAAATTCTAAAACCCATCAAACTCCTATATCCTGAGGTCCTAAGCCGCGAGCCAAAAACTGTAAAAAGCCATGTTCCTCACAGTGTGAAAGAGGGCCCTTACTTGCATCTACGAGTTCGTTGCGGGTTTGGGATATAGAGGCTTTCTAAAGCTTGGGGTACCTTCTTACGAGCCAGAATAATAAAGGTGCATATTTCGGGGTCTATGTCGGGGACTTAGAAAGTAGGTAAGTAACAGGGATAGTAATTATAGGGTTACTATGTGGGTTATAGGGGTTATCAACCTACTTACTAAGTTTTCCTGACCCTCCAAGTAACCCTCAATTCCTGAAACTTGAGAACCTCCTTACACCCCAAACCCGCAAACCCTGAAAAGCATTAAAACCTTCCTAAACCCTCAGCCTTAAACCCTAAACCCTAAGTCGAAGACCCAGCAGGCCTTGATCAACCTCTACCTTAACGGTGGTGCAGATGCTCGTCCAGAGATCAGGGTTACCCTTAGGCTCTAAGGACTCATAACATAAAGTTTTTGGGCCTAAAGACCATACTATATCAGGCCTTTGGGCTATTTTGAGCCTTAGGGTTAGAGTTTAGGATTCGGGCTTAGGCTTAAGGTTTAAGGGCCTTAGGGAAGTTTAATTTGAGGTTTATGGCATTTAGAAAATTGTATTGTTGATGGGGTTTTAGGGAAGTTGAAGCCCTAAACCCAAAACCCTAAACCTCTCAACCCTAAACCTTAAGCCCTAAACAAGGTTCATGGGGTTTAGGGAGGTTTCAGGCTTGTGGGGTCGAGGGTGACAAGGGTATAGGGTTTGCAAGGTTTAGGCTTGATAGGGTTGAGGATTTATAGGGTTTAGGGTTTCTAGGGTGTAGGGTTTAGGGTTTAAAGCTTAGGTTTAGGATCTATAGGGTTAAGCGATTAGGGTCCTCAAGGGTCCATGGTGATATATAGCGGATACGTAAGGCCCAAAGGGGTTCCCATACCTGAACCCATATATAGGTAAAATCATGGCCTTTAGGGCTATTATTATGGGTTTAGGGTAATTATTTTACATACTTTTGGGGTTCAGGCATTCGTAAGTTGGGACCTGAGTTTCTGCCATATAGCCTCGTGGGCGCTTGGGGGGTTTTGAGTCTAGTTTGTCGGTCCCCTGTAGTACACTCCCGGAAACTAACATGGAAACCCAAAAAGGGCCCTATAAAGACTACAGTCCTTGTAAAAGGGGACTATATAGGTTTCCATGTTAGTTTGGGAGAGTGTAGTTCCTTCAGAGTTATGAATAGTGATCCCTTTTTTCCAATGCTGCAGTCTCTACGAGCCACCAGAAAGTTCGGGATGTTGTGATCGAGGGCCTTGGATGCATGTGGCGGTGAATATGGACGAGGACATGGTTTTTGGTACGAAGAGCTGACTGTCATTCGGGTGCTGCAACATCATCGACCCCTTCTTATGGGCTACTAAGATGCGCTGTTTTCCAAAATTCCGGCGGATCTAGTGCCAAAGTATTAGAACTACCTGTGTTCGCAGTGCGCTTTATACTCCAGCAGGTAGAGATTTTGGGCATTACATGGCGTAGAGCTTTGTGGCTTATGTAATTCACAGGTTTCCCTACTACCCCCCCTAGGTTCCCCCCTTAAATTATGGGTATTTAATGATCATTAAGCTTAGTTCGGATGCAGCTGGGCATTGCTCAGGACACGTTCAACCTCCTCGTGCCTTTGGACTGCAAGCTTCACGAGGAATACCTCACTGTCACTCAACTGTGCTGGCTTTAGCGTCTTTATAGTATTGGCTTCGGACTCTATTCACACATACACATAACCCTAAACCATCCTAAGCCCTAAATCCTAAATCCATAGTGCAAATACTTATACATCTCTCGCTCGCTGGTTGAGACTTCGCAGAGAATCATCTGCTTCGCTGTCAACCTTGATGAAACCCTGAGCCGCAATCTCCTTTGCCCGAAATCTTAAACCCTCAGCCTGCCTGAGGGTGCTTCTTGTAAAAGCCTGAATAGTAGCTCATTTCTATATATATGTGTATATATATATATGTATATATATATATGTATATATATATATGTATATATATATATATATGTGAGCCATCTTAAAAACTCATTACAGGAGGGTTTTAGAGATGATATAGGGCCTATAGGGATCCTATTCTGAGGGGGTAGGCCCGGGTATTCAAGGAGTTGCGACTATTGCTCATCTCACTTCTGTGCAGCGGTCAGGGTTTAGGGATTAGGGATAGTGCGCCTTGGAGACTGCCCCCCTTAGTAGCAGTTGGAGAGTGATTCTAACATGACTCTGTAGAGCCCTTAATACTACCCCAAGCCTAGACTGTAACCCCCCATAGCCACAAACCCTAAACCCTAAACCCCTAAACCCTAAACCCTAAACCCCTAAACCCTAAACCCCTAAACCCTAAACCTTCACCCTGAAATCTACATGCCCCGCTCCCACTTATTTAGGCCCTTGCAGTAGCGCACCGGCTTGGCCTCGTAGTTGTCCTTATCTTACCCTAACCCTCAGGGTCCAAGGACCCAAATAATAGGGTCTCAGGGCCTGAATACCATTAAAATTTTAGTATTTGGGCCCTAAAACCCTATTATTTGGGTCCTTGGACCCTTAGGGTAAGGCTCAAAATAGCCTTGTATAGTATGGTGTTTGGGCCCAAAATCCTTATACTATGAGTCCTTAGAGCCTTAGGGTTAGAGTTTTATGTTCCTTTCTTCCCGGCTAACCACCAGTCAGCCAAGGTGGGTGGACTCCAACCAGGTCTTGTCGCAGCAGCTAGCCGAGGCCAATCTCAGCACAACATGGCCGGAGGAGAAGGAGGACTGGACTAGGCGAGGTGGTTGGTTTAGGGTTTAGGGTTTAGGGTTTAGGGTTGATGTATTGACTTTGGCTTGAAATAACGTTTATGTTACATATGAGCTCTAGTCTAAACTCCTTGAAGGAGGATTCTATAGGGGGTTATATGGGGGACTACTATTGCGGTTATTGAGGGGGATCCTAGGAGTTTAGTTTTGTAGCTCAGATATGAATCCACTGTTGGTGAAAGGGATTCAGGGCCATGACAAGGGTGTGAGGTATATGTGGTGTAGTGGGCTTAAAGTAGGCAATCCCCTCCCAATAATATTAAACTCCCTCCACCCGCCCCCTGCAAAATATTTAGTACGCCCATTGTTGTATATTTTAAGATATTCAGAATATTTCATATTCGGGTGGTTCTATATTAGGGCAATGGGCTCATTGCATTTTAGACTGGGACTCTCCAGGAAAGATCGAGGGAGCCCAAGCGATTCATATGGATTGCCGCTCACGTTCACATGCATTATTTCACGTCCCTGTCGATGGGCAGATGCCCAAAATGGACAACAATGAAATTATAGAAAGAATCCAATGCAATCAGGGAAATTCTTGCCCCCAACGCCATACATGGACGCGTCATAGTGCCCTTAGAGATTCTTCAAGTGAAGTTTGGAGCCAGGCGACAGACTCTTCTGTCTTTCCAGACCGTGGCAAAGCTGATCGCGTCCCGCAACTGGGCTAGCCATGAGGAGAGTCCCCCTAAACCCTGGACTTTCCCAGGAAGCCCAAAGTCCTTAACTAAGTGGGACTCCTGAGATCCTCCCCTAACTAAGCCTATTTTGGGCCCCAATCTCGGTTATTTGGGGCTATTTGGATCCCTACAAAGGCATATAAGGGATGCGAGTATCATTTGGGTTATACCTAAACCCCAAAAGTATGTAAAACAATTGCCCTAAACCCATAATAACAGCCATAAGGGCCATTATTTTACATACTTTTGGGGTCCAAGTATTCCTTACTTGAGGGGCACCTAGTCCTCCCAATATCCCCAAGGTAGTGGGGATCTAGACTACTACTGTTGATACTGAAAATCCTGCATGACCATAGTGTAGTATAGTACCATAATTCCCAAGGTTTAGGGTACTTAGGGTGATGCAGGATTTTTAGTATCCACCGTATTATGGGTATTCGGGAAGTCTAGGTATTCGTAAGGGATTCGAAGATCACTCGTCATTTTGGGTTATGCCTTAGGTGGACCCCCTACCCTTTGAAGGTGGATTTCTCGGAATGCAAGAAGACCCTCCTATGATCACCATGATCCCTTTCAGTCACTACTACTGGGTCGAGGCCCTAAACCCTAAACCAGTCGCTGTTACTCGGGGCGGGGGGGGGGTCCAGCTAAGTCATACTCCTTTATATACCCAAAGGGTCCAAGTACCTAATAATCATATACTGTACCATAAGTAGTATTACCCCAAACCCAAGTACCTGATTCTTGGGTACATGGACCTTAGGGTAAGGGGTATTCAGGTGTCCAACTTGCTGAGTTCAGCAATTGCTAACGGTTCAAGATTTAGGGTTTACGGTTTAGGTTCGAGTTTAGCGGTTGGGGTGTAGTGTTTAGGTAAGGGGTTCAGGGCTAAGGGCTTCGGGTTGAATCTCAAACCTCAAGCCCACCATGAACAAATTTCGAGAGGCATGTAATCATGGCCCAAAGGGCTCCCCATATACCTGCTTTAAGGCCCAAGTCTATGCCATATAGCTACATGAACGTTAAACCCTAAAACCCTGAACCCTTGAATCCTAAACCCTGAACCCCAACCCAAAACCCTAAACCCTAGAAAGGCAAAGTCCGCAAAGTGGAGAGGGACTTCTTCTACGTGGAGGCCTGGGTTTCAAAGGGTCCATGTAGGTAGGGGGTGTAGGGTTGGTTTAGGGTTTAGGGTTTAGGATAGGTATACTGTATATACGTAGGGCCCAAAGTGGCTTGCATAGAGTTATTTTAAGGCCAAAGTATGTATACGATATGCCTACATGGACCCGTCGGGCATATTTCCTGGCAGTTCTGTAGATGGGCAGGGTCTTGGATTAAATTCAGGCATTTTTCGTGAAGCCTGAGTTATTGGCCCTGAACCCTTAACCCCTAGACCCTGAACCTACAGTACCCTTAGTATGGTATCTTTTTTCAAGTTCCTTTATTCCAGCAAACTAGCTGAAGAAGATGTGCAGGTTCGCGGCTTTGACACACACAACGACATCCGGCCAGTGATGGTATCTTGGCTGGGCCACTTTAGGGGATAACTTTCATGAGGTACAAATAATACTACCTGAAGACTAACACCCAATCTGTAAAGGCCACTGTTGTCGCTAGACTTTGATTCATTACTAGTTATACTAGCTCAAAACCCAAAACCCAAAAGTTGTATTAAGTTCACAACTTGTAAGGCAAGGCTGTATTTTCGAGTAATATCCCAAGAAGGAGCCTGTTGGGGCGTGAGTAATACCTCGTTTGTCTTCTTGACTGACTTCTCCGCCTCATGCTCTGTAGGCCCACAAATCAGTTCGGGGTTTGGGGTTTAGCAAAGAGCAAGGGCTATATTCAGGGATTTTCCTAGTCTGTATGTGCCAACCAAAAATTGAATAGACCCTATAGGCTATCTGACGTCCCAAGACACCATTGACTGAAAAATCTGGAAGGGGTCAGACTGTGTCCCCAAACCCTATCTCTGGTAGATCCCCAGGAAGCGTTAGCATAGACTGGCCCTCCAAGAACCCCAAACCTTGGGTACTGCCCCCACCCAGTAAGAGTCTATATTAAGGGTCCTATTAAGGGCTATATACAGCCATATTATAGTCATTATCCAGCTGTTACCGAGGGGGGGCAGTACCCAACCCAAACCCTATAAACCCTAAACCCCTTTCACTGAAAGGAAGAGCTCTTCGACAATCTCAATTTCGCCTTGGAGGCTTTCGTGGCAGAGCTGAAGGCACAGGGCATATTTGAGGCTACCACGTTGCCTGGACCAAAACGGTTAAGGGTTTACGGCCTACGGGGGTTCAGGTTTTCTGGGTTCTAGGTTTGGTTTGAGGTCTAGGTTTGAGGAGTTGGGGTTTAGTGTTTAGGGTTCAGGGCTTAGAGTTTTGAGTCGAGGATTCAATGCTTCCATTTTTTAAGGGTTTGAGGAGGTCGTCTTTGATGGTGGTGGGGTGTCGGCTTCCATGGCTTTGAGAACTGAATCCTAGACCCTAAGCCGCGCAACTCCAAACTCAACACACAGGACATTAAGATGACTTCGCAGGCCTATACAGTTGCTTCCCCAAGTAGGTAACCCGCGACCCTAACCTAAAACAAAAACAATAACAACAAGACTAATCATCATCACCATCATCATCATCATCATCATGCCCGGTCATACCCCCCAGTAACCCCCCTCCCAGATCCGGTGGTGAGCAGCATTCCCAATATAATGCCATACCACAATATGGCGAACAAGTATTGCTGTGATTCATGATTGTTGCTCCTTGCATGCTTTGTAATTTGGGGTGTGGACGGGTTCTTCATTATTGCAGGAGCGGATTCTTGTAGGCCTGAACCTTCCAAGTACATTGAAGTAGTGCGTTAACGTGCGCAGACTTCAGTTTTCAGAAGGGTTTAGGTTTAAGAGTAAGAGTACGGCCTCCTCTAGGGCATCAGGTTTTGCGTTAGAGGTTTAGCATTATTTGGTTCGACCATCCAAAGCACTATCCAGTTAGGTGCTTGCACTCCAGATGATTAACCTTACTCTGACCGCTCAACAGTCAAAAGTCAAGTCTTAGGGATATTATCTTGTTGCTACAGGTATTTGGTAGGTCTAGATACACTGCCTTGGCAGCCAAATCCACAGGTGCACGAGCCCGAAACCCTAAACCTTCAACACCCTGAACTGAGGCTTGTTACTTCCTCTGATTTCGGACGCACGTTGACCTCCAACGGTAAGGGTACCGACCACGGCTGGGCTGGCAACTACGTGGCGCCCTGGAGGGTCAGGTGTTGATGGCTTTGAGCTTCCTAATTGAGACCCTAAACCCTAACTTGGGACCCTAAACCCTAAACTCTGAGCTTGGGGTTTAGGGTTCTGTCCTGCCCAAAGAACGACCAAGCGGAACAAGGGCCCCTAAAATGTCGAGGTGCTGGGCGGTGCGGTGAAAGGCGGCAAGGTCTTCAACAGTTTCCCAAGCAGCCTGCTCGAGGGAAACAACCAGGCTCCCTTGACCAAGCAATTTCAGGGGTTTACGTGCAGGCATACGTGAGCGTTTTTTGGATGATCGGTTCCTTGTGGGGGGCTTTCTGTTACAGGGGCCGTGTCTGTTCGACCGTTTGCTTCGCAGATAGCGCAGAGGGGAGGCTATGGCGAATGGAATCAAACTTTTGGCGAAACTTGCACCACTCGGGACGCTGGAACACCGTAGCCCCTAGGTTATAAGGTACATGACCTCGTGCAGGATTCCTCCCTGCCACTATGGGCTATTAGACCTTGAGGGTACCTTAATCTACCCGTAATAGGGTCCTAATAGGGAATTTTAGGGTCTAATAGCAGATGGTGGTAACCCCAAGACCCCCCTTAACCCTGCTACCTTCGCCCAACGTGGGGCGATGAAAGGCTTCCCAGGGCATGAGCTTCACAGGATTTAGGGTTTAGGGTTTAGGGTTTCGGAGGCAAACGCCTAATTTTTGCAGCTGTTGTCCTCTCCAATTGGTTCAGGACTTGGAAGTCTATTGCTTGTAATAGTGGAGAAAAGCAGGGAACTTCAAATCGCAAATGACATGGAAACTGGGGCATATAGGGGAAAATTCTACTTGGGAGAGTGCTTTTCTGCACTGGCCATGTTAGTGCTGTGAACCGGGCCAGCACGGCAGAGCAGCAGCAGCAGCAGCAGCAGCAGCAGCAGCGCAGCAGCGCAACAGCAGCAGCAGCGGTGGTGGTGGCGGCGGCGGCGGCAGCTCCACCACGACCAGCACCGGCAGCAGTACCAGTATCGAATCATTTCAAACTCGCCTGAGCTGAAAGCCTCCAGCGACCGCCAGGATGCTGGTCGTGGGAGAATCATCCCAGAATATCCATGGGAGAATGCCACTTGGTCAGAGTCTAGGGGCTCATACACATACCTGAAATATCATTTTTTGAATGGCTATGCTTTTCTAGCCAATAGACAGCAAGATTATGCTTTGCATTTGCGAGTCGCAGTCTAGGATCATATAGGTAACATGCTGAGAAAGTCTCCGAAAAGGCAGTGTTTTGTGCGCATGGAAGCCACAAGCACAGCCATTTGTTGGGTAGACAGGGTGTGACCAGCAACGTTATATTGGGACAACATTGCTACTTCTTCCGGCCTCTGCTATAGGGAAACTCCAAGCCATAGCCACGTCCTTATACTTACTAGATCTTGCTAGCATAGGTAGCACGAGTGCTTCATAATACGCACGCCTAGATTCTACAGAAGGTATGTTTCCCACATGGTCTTGGTGAGAACATATGAGCCATAATCTAAAGTCTTAGTAATGGTAGCTCCCTATATAATCACATATATATATATACACGCACCCCTTTTTAAGGAGTTTAGACTACGACTCATATCGTTCCTGAAGACTGTTGATGCATGTCTTTCTTTGGTGTCCAAACTGCAGGACCACATTCAAAGATCCTCAAAGGTGTTCAAGCGTTCTGTTCAACAATGACGATTCATTGTTTTGGTTTTGAGTTTTAGCTTCGTTGTCTTCGGGATGGACACATTTCAGTCCATTCGTTCTTCAGCTTTTGGTGTGTCCCTGGGGCAAGTCCACGATGTAACCAGGAAGTTTTGGTAAAGTTCGTTACCCCCACCCTAAACCCTAAACCCTAACGCTTAAGCAGACAAACCTCTTTTCATTCAACCCTAGCCTCGAGAACTCGAACTTCATGGTCTTGATCTTTACTGGTGCTTATAGTCCCCCTTAAGTAGATATGGGGATAATGGAAAAGAACATGGAAACAACTTTTTAGGGTTTAGGGTTTAGGGATTATAGTTCCTTAAGTAAGTTGATCATGGGGATCCTATTATGCTATACCGAAAGCCATGTTCTATCTACTTAAGGGGGACTATAGTAGGAAAAATTAAAGGAATAACAATCCTCATATCACGTCATATAACCACCAGAAAATCACTCCATTCTTCGCGTATTTCCTACTAACCCTAAAGCCTATATTATATTCCCTTATTCCCTACTCACCACCAGCAAGTGATGGTCTTTTATCCGAAGACACCTGTAATGTTCTAATGCGCACCCTACCTGCGCGCCTAATATTATCCCCCCACCCCCCGAAATACTAAATGTTCACCACGTAAATTCAATATATGTCACCATAGAACACTTAATTAGGGGGGAACTCGCGTCAGGTTCTCATGCCTATTGCCGAGTGGATGGGGGTGGAGGGCTCGCACCACAGCGACGTCTTCCCGAACATCCAGAAGCTCGTCCGGTTGCCGACTGGAGTTTCAAGGGGTTCCGGAGTTTGAGTCCAAGGGATATAAGTGAGCTGGTTCTGGCACTTAAGGCCTGGAGAAATAGTAGGACAGGTACGGAGCTGTTCTGAGGTTCAGTGTTTCAGTGTTGGGGCCAGGGGGGTTTAGGATGCAGGTGTATAAGACCTTCTTGGGGGTTGAGGTTAGGTTTTCACATCCTGGATGGGGTGCTGTGGTAGTCAAGATCATGCCCTAATGAGGGTCCCGCATATGAATCTTTTGAGGTGGGCGCGATCATATGGTGCATCCACCGCCCAAAGCCTTAAATCCTAAACCTAAACAACAAACTGTGTGTCTCGAGCAAATAAGTTCGATTTCTTAGCATGAATGCTAGGCTGCCATAACCCAAAGGGTCCATGTAGGTATATGGGATATACTTGGGCCTTAAAGTAGGTATATGGGAACCCTTTGGGCCCTAAGTATATACCATTTACCTACATGGACCCTTTGGGATAAAGCATTACACACATCTGATGTAGCTTCAGGGGTGGCGCTGCCCTGTGCTGGTTCCACATTGAGACTTAGGGTTTAGGGTTTAGGGTTTAGGGAGACACAATGAACATGACAACTATGAACTGAATTCCTTTGTGGGTTTTAGTACCATACGATTTAAAAAATACTTTTCCACGCTGACCTCGGAGAGTGGCACGTTTGGGGCTTGCAGTGGCTACTTAGAGCAAGTGCTTTTGGCGAAGTTTTCTGCGGTGGATGTACAGTGTCCTATTTGAGCTTCAGCCACACACCCCAAACCCTAAACCTTAAACCCTAAACCCTAAACCCTAAACCGCGTCAACAGAAGTCAATGGATGAAAGGCCTCTCTGGGGTAGAGAATCGGTTGGAGCAGCCCTTTGCACACAAACTTTGGTTCTTGCTACCCTGAACATCGTTAGCCTAGACCCAAAACCTTGCCTCTTGAAAGGATAGCCGGACTTCCAAGAGAGGGAAGGTTCGGGTGAAACCGCTGCAAGACGAAGCTGCTTAAGTACAGAGCCTCATGCCCCCAACAGATTCATGCTTCTAATCGGTTCTCACACTCCCTGATTATTTGGCGTCTAAAGCCCTGAGATTGGCCTGTACCCCTTAAACCCCTAAACCCTAAAACCTGAAAACCCTATACCCCAAAACCTAAACCTTGCACCTGAAGCCATTACATCTGGCTGGTGGTGCTGAGCCAACCTTCTCTTACGACCTGCTTTACTTCCAGGGTCAAGGAGACAAAGTAAGTAGGGTAATAGGGTTTATAAGGTTTAGGGTCCAGGCATAACTGGGGTTATTTTATATATGCAATAGGGGTTATGCGTATACACGCTCTGCCCCCCTGACTCTCCAAGTAAGCTCGCAATTCACGACACATTGTTTCTCATTGACCTCAGGGCTCTGGTCTAGGGTTATCTGGATCAATGTTAGGAATCCTATATATCTTGGGAGTATGGGATTCCTACATTTATGGAAAGGGTCTTTTTTTCCTAGGGTAATGTGGGCTAAGTTAAAGGGTCAGGGTTACACAAGCCAAAGCCGCTCAATGTGAGATACTATTTCCAGATTTCGAGCCCAAGCGTAAACATATAAGTCCAGCCTCTAAACCCTAAACACTGTGGTAAAAGTTTAAACCCTAAAGCCGTAAACCTAAACCCTAACCCCGTGGTAAAAGTGTAAGTGCAATAAGTTTAGCTTCCGCCTCGAACCTGGCAATTTGGCCCGCCAAGGAATTTCAATGCGTCGCACATCTTGGCAACCAATGTGCTTTTTGCATCTTAAGGGCCTTGGCTTAGTGTCCTTAAAGGGACTTTAAGTAATGGGAACCCCAAACAGGGAACCCCAAGAATATAGTAGGAATATAATAGAATATAAGGACCCTAGTAGGTATATTGGGGTTCCCAGTAAAGTCCCTTTAGTCTTGCAACTGAGTTGCAGAGCATCACTGGGACTTTCCCTAAATGATGGGTTCCTGCTGCGGCTTTGATTCGGTAGTTGCTTGCATGCAGAACCCTGTTGCGGTACAAAGTGGCATACCCCAAAAAATCCCTGACGGCCGGTAAACCCAAACCCTGAACCGTAAACCCTACACATAGTTCAAGGCTTAGTCGGAAAGTTTGGCCCTCTTCCGGTAGACCAGGTGGTGTTCAGGTCCATATTCCCAAACCTGAAAGATTTAGGGTCCCGTGTTTAGGGTTCAGGGAAGTCAGGGGTTTGTAGATTCCTACATACCATATGGATTGATGTTGCGGGTGTAAAGTGAGGAGAACATTCTATGTGTGCATTCAATATTTTCTATGTGCCTTCAGTAATCTGGTGGCATGGCGCCGATGAAGCTTCTTTGGGGACCTTAGGCCCTGAAGCCCCAAAGCCACTAGCCTGAGGGTTTAGGGATTGAGGATTTAGGGTTTCAGGGTTTGGGTTTAGGAACTTGTCCTTGTTGACATTGCCACTAGACTGTCCACAAAATCTAAACCCTCAACCCAGGAGGTGCCCCAGATGCCGAGTAGCTGCCGAGGATTCGTGAGGGTACCCCTATGTTGCGCCCTAAGCCCTCGACCTTAGGCCCCACTCTCTGAACTCAAACCTTCAACCTTAAACCCGAAACCCTTAACCCTAGAGCCGCCGCAAGCAGGGGATACCCAAGTTGTGGAAATTCCAAATTTTTGGACGCAGGGGAATTCCAAAACCCGAGTGCGCCATCAGCACCCAGGGCATTCCCCAG